GGGGAGTGTCTGCGGAGCTGTGCGGCTCTCCGGGCTCGGCTTCCTAGCAGCAAGGCACTGCCTCTCTAAATGCTCTACGTGACTGGTTTATCTTCAGGAGTTTCTCAGCCTGGTCAGTCACAACAAGCGTTAATCACTGATGCCTCAAGACAGGCTTACAGTTTTTGGTACAGGTTTATGGAGTTTGATAACAAGTTCCTGGACCAAACTCTACATGTCTAACATATGCTGTGTAGCACTGTAGGCTAAATATCAGCTGGCAAAAAAAAGGAACCTGTGCTAGCTGCAACTGCTGTAACTCTTCACAGCTGGGAAAAAGAATGGGAGAAAAGGGGCAGGGCACAAAGTCAAGTGTACGTTTTTCCCATTGTATTCTTAAATAATTACTTTGCCAACTGTTATGAAAAACTGCCAGAAAAAATGGCTATGATTAAAATGTTTCTAGGAACTGTTGTCAAAGAACGTGTATTTAGGCTTTTGGATTTAAAAGTAAAACCCCAGAAGTATCTTTTTTAAGTGCTTGCGTTTTTTCCTTTTCCATCTTAAGAGTACCTGCAAGGTATTTTTTTGGACCTTATCATCTAGAATAAGGCTCTTGATTGGACTAGAAAGTAATGTGTTTTGGAGCAGGGTTTTGTCAAATTAATTTGATAATAAACAGTAAGCCTTAATTTGCTTTCAGAGTTATATGTATATTAAAAAAGGAGTGGGGCATGAACCAAAGGGAGTTAGAAGAAAAATCATGATTTTTTTTTTTTCTTTGAGGGAATTGCTATGACTTGTTTAATCTGGTGACAACTGTGTGTGGCTGTTACACGCATAGCCACTCTGTAGATCGCTACCAGCCTTGAATCAAAATGCACTAGATAAAGCTTTAAAAAGCATCTGTATTAAAAAAAGAATCATACTGGAAACAAAGGTGATGGCTTACGCGACTTTATTAAATTCAAAGATTCTAAAATTATTTCTATTAAAATGCCGTTAATCATCATTTTGTAGTCAGTTGGTGAAGAAGTGAGACCAAATACTTCTCACTGATGTTTTTTCCTCTTCCTTCTCCCACCATGATTTTCTGTGGTAATTAAGATTGCAATCCGAGTTGTCCAGTGCTGTGTGTTTTTTCTTTATTAAGAGAAAAAACAGCCTTTGGCACTCCACAAAATTCATCCGGCATTAATGAAATGCTTTATTATTGAATGCATCACAAATATTTCAGCTGTCTGATTGCTGAAATTATTCTTAGTGGAATTCATTCAGGATAGACGAAGGTTACCTTCTTTGCAAAGTATGTACAGCCAGGTACTGCAAGGGAAGACGTGATGTAAAGTCCTTTGAATATGCTACTGCCAGGTAACTTCAATCAGTGTCTGGGCAGGAGTAGGAGTTTGGCATCTACCTGATGTGTGGGTCAGTGTTATAGTGTCTGGCTTCATGTCTGTTGGATCTATTATAATCAGTTTCTATTTGTAGAGAATGAGTTCCTAATTTATACATGTTAGTATCGGCAAAGCCTGTTACAATTAGAGTTTGAACTGAATTGACAGAGGGTACTTTATTTACTTCAGGGTTCAGTAAATTACATAGCAGGTGCTGATGAAGGGAAATACTGTTTTGCTTTGTTTTCTAAATTATGATGACTGACTGGACTACTGACAACTTGAAGTAAAATGCAATGGTCTTCCTTTTTTTTTCCAGTTTGGTGGAAGGTAAGGAGGCATTGCAGCTGTGCTCCTGTTTGGACTGCTCAGAATGATGGCAATATTGCTACCCACAGTGAATCAAGGACACTGCGTTATATGGACAGGGCTATAAACGGCCAATCTACTTTTGTATCAAGGCCTCTTCACTATAATCAGCTTACACTCCATTTGCTTAGTATACCAAGCAAACCTGCTGTGACAGTGTTTGTATAGTGTCTTATTCACACCGTCCTTTTGAAAATTTAAGGGCTGCTTAGCCACATGCCCACCTACTATACTTGCACTGCTGTACATGTCATGGTTCTCCAACAGCTATTTCCTTCTCTGATTTTCTGAACAACAGGTGATCCCTGTGTATTTGAGGTAAGAATTATGGGATTGTTTGACAAGCTCGCAGGATGGCTTGGGCTGAAGAAAAAGGAGGTTCACGTTTTGTGCCTTGGCTTGGACAATAGCGGCAAAACAACGATCATAAATAAACTTAAACCTTCAAATGTGAGTAGCCTACTTAGTTCACTGTTGATGTTTTTACTGCAGAGTTGATGTTTGTTTAAACTGTTTTTGTGTGCTGTTATACTAATGTGACCACGGAAAAAATGTGAAGAGCTTTTTGATTTAGTACAGTGGAACAAATATATTTTAAGAGTTTCCAACTAACTGAAACTAAATGTAAGCATCCATGTGCATATTATGAAAACATTTCCCAAAACAACACTGTTAATGTCGTGTGTTTTTTCTAAGATCACCCAATAAGGAAGGGTTTATGATGGCTGAAATCAAGATCTGAAACAGTTTTCTTAAGTCACTTAAATAATTGCTATAGGATTGCAGTTACGAGTGATGTGTCGAACGTTTGGGATTAATACAGTTGTTATACAACTTGTACTTGTCTACATTGATCATGTTTATTTTAATGTCTTCCTGGGAAATAATATGTATCTAATAAATAATAAAATAGGAAATAACATGAAGATGCACATTTAATGGTGACTTCAGCATTTTTAAAGCAGAATAGCTTTCAAAATAAGTAGCATTTATACTTGCAGTTTATTCATCCAGTGAAAAGTGTTTCAGGCCACTAAGAGTGCATAGTATTCTGAGTAAAATTTTAAGTAGGATTACCTTGTTTCTAGGTACGTTTATGGAATAGAAATAGATGAATTTTGGTAGGCAAGTTTAAAGCCAGAGGCTTGTGCATCTTGGTTATATGCATCTGGGAAACTGTGATTTTGATTTTTTTTTTTTTCCTGTTTACATCAGGACACAGCTTTTGTTTTTTAATTTCCATTGAACTTTTCCTGAAGAGTACCACTGGATATTGTTTAAAAAAATGTAACCCGGTAAAGAGTCTGCTACTCTTCCATTCCTGGCAATTAGTCTTCTGCTGAAAATTAAATAGATTTATAAACAGAGACTATAAACTGCTTACTCTCTGCTGCCAGTCATTTGGGGGAAATGCTACAATTTGTACGAGGCAAATTATATATTTATGTAATTTTTGAGACCTTTATTGTAGCAGGGGTTTTATGTCATGCCTTAAGCAGTAAAGGATTCCTAACTAGAGTTGAACACAGACTTCAAGATTTATTACAATAATAGGTATTAGAGAAGGTCCCAAGGGAATTACACAAGTAGAATAAATAGAATTTGTTTGCTTTACTGTAAATTGTGTAATGAGAATTTAATTCTGAATGTTTTCATTTAATGTGATGCTTTAGGAGGGTAGCTTTGCATGCAACTCGTCTAAGTCCTATCCTTGCAAGACATGACCAATTCTCTAATGTGCAACAAATGTCATTAGATCAGACTGGATGAAATTGTTTATTTTTAGTAAGTTCAGATGGACAGGTGATTCTGAGCTCTGGATCAACCCAGTCTTCTTAAGAAGAACTGCTGCTTTACCCTAGGAGCAATATATTAGGTGTCTGGCAAATACGAGTGTTTCTCCATCTGTTTGCAGTTGTTTCTTCTGGGCCTGATAAATACATCTGAAATAAATGTTAAAGAAATAACACCTCTTCTACTCTGCACAAATTTTCCCTTGGCGACAGGAACTGTTGACAAAACTGTTTGCAATGGTGGAATGCCATTTTCATAGTGAAGCTGCAGGTGAACAAGCTAAGCTTGCTTCAGTTGTATGTGAGGAGTCAACTGCTTACAGATAGTGTTTTTTAATAAGGGGCCTTAGAAGGTCTGTAAAAGGATTGCATGTCACTTTCTCAGACAACTCTGTAATCTAAGGAATGTGACCTTTCTCCCTGCTCGATATGGATGCTTCTTAAAGGTGCTATTCTGTTCTAGCAACTTAGCTGATAGGTTCCTTGGCTAGCTCTGCAGTAAACCTGATTATCAGACAGATCTATTAATAATGCTTTATGTTTTGGCCATTCCTCTGTGGCAAATGGTAATTTCTTCCAGTAGTCTAGTAGTTTGACTAGAACTATGGTTAGGCCATTGGGTAATGTCTGCTGTATAATTCTGAATGTCAATGGGCTACTCCATCCTGTGGGTACAAGTTGGGAGTATGGCCAATCTAGTATCTTGATAGAAGTATATCCTCTTTTATCTAAGAGGCTTGGGATATTGTGCAGACTTGTTTGTGTTGACATTGTGATTTCCAAAGTGCACAAATATTATCAACTTTGACCTCAGTCATAATCGTCAAGCTGTTATTTTCCATGTTAACCTATCTCCTATTTATTTCATAGGTAATATCCACACATACATGTACACGCAGACTAATGTAAAGGGTGAAATCTCACTCTTGAGGCTAAAATGTCTTCAGTGCTCTTGTCCAATAATGTTCACTGGATTTCCTAGAAAACAAAACTTTGATTTTGAATTACTGTACATTTCTGGGAATTTTTTTAATACAAAGTATCTGGATTTGTAGAAAGCTTTTGTATGGCACAGTTTGGGGAAAAATAGATCTGTAATGTATTAATGTTTCAAATATATTTCATTATTTACATTTTCTAACTCGATTGTAAAATTTGAACTTTCTTTCCTTTAAAGGCTCAAACTCAGGACATCGTTCCAACAATAGGATTCAGTATAGAGAAATTCAAGACATCGAGGTAGTAGTTTCTCTCATTTTCTCCATTTAGCAGTAGTAATTAATATACAATAATTGGACTTAATTACCTCTTTCCGTTGGGTGTAACTGAGTATAATATGTAGTGGTATAATGACATGCAGTTTGCAGAGATGTTGTAGTACCCAGGAGTCCTAATCGTGATCCAGGACTGACAGTGTTAGAATATGTATGTTTTGTGCTGCTATAAAAACTATGTATGTGTTTAAAAACAAAAGAAAAAGTTTTTTGCAATGGTGTGTATAAGCATCTGATTTCTGTCTGTTAAGAATTTCAAAACAGGGCACTGTTACAGACTTGAGGAGAGACAGTTGCTTAGATGATAACCTATATTCCGTTAAGCACTCTCACTGGAGGGACTCTGAAGAGATTGCAGTCTAATCTCATTAAATGAAAAATGGTGGCTACAGTGTTAGCAATGTAAAGATGGCAGGGGCAAAGGTCAGGAAAAAGAGGAAGAAATCAGTAGTTGAATGAAGGCTACGATTTGGAAAAGGAATGTTGAGGCAAAGGTACTTCAAGGATGTAACATTAGATATTATTTTATTATTCTGTAGCCTTCACAGCGTATTTTTAACGGGTGCAGTTAGTCTTCAAACCAAGCAGCATGCCCCACCGGATGAGAGACCTGCAAGAGAATTGTTTATTCCTTGAGCTGGTGTGGGACTGACAGGTTTCATATTGTTTATAGGAGGCTCAACAACTGTATTCTGTATCAGTAAAGCACATAGGACAGGTTTGGGGTTTGGCTGTGTGAGAATGTAAATCAATTTATGTTGCTTTCCTTTATCCTGACCTGTAGTAGGAGAGATGATCTGCAAATACACCATGTAGAAGGATTAAAAAAACAAAAAAAACCCAAACAAACCCACAACCCACCCCAAAACCTCATTAATCTAATATTACAATCAAAACATTGTTTGGGCGTTGCTAATAACTTTATACATGGCAGAGCAACTAGTTTAGAATCAGATGATGTCTGGATATAGAGTGGAAAGGATGTTTGGAGAGCTTCCTTTTCTAAACCTCCTCATTTTGGTGTGGCCTTCACTTGGGGAGCTATTCGGGACTACCCAAACCAGGAAAACTTAGTACTGAAGACAGTGTTGCCTCTGTAGACATTTCAGGAATGGATCAGAATTTTTTGTAATGTTGCTTAAGCTGACTTGCTGTATTTCGTGTTTTGGGTGAAATCTCAAAGTTGTGAAGACTGCCTATTGTAGCTTGGTCACCTGTTATTACCAGAATGTGACACTTCCCTTTCTTCCCCCACCCCCAAAGGTGGATTTTTTTTTTTAAACCCTTTTATTTTGCATACAGAAGCCTTTGGATGTTATTGGTGCCTGTCTAGGGACAGAATTTAAGACAGACTGTGGATTTTAAGTCATGGCTTATCTGAATTTCATTTACTCAACATTATAAGCAATATTTGATACTAACATGATAAAAAGAGAGGCTGAATGAGAGCTTACTTTGTATTTGATATAACTTTTTATAACTGGTTTAGTTCTTTTATTCAGAGAATAAACAAACATGTTTTCCATTGTTAAATACTTCTATAATAAGACTGCAAAACTGGGTAGGATAGTTTGAAGGCAGATAGAGAACCAGAGTTCCTTTGGGAAAATTTCTCAGTTGATTAGCATTCAAGTTGATCTGGCTTTTTTCTGTCAGGGTAGCAAAGAAAATAGTTTGGATTTAGGTTTTGTTCTTTGTTTCTGTGCCTCATACACTTCTTTTCTTTGCAGTTTGTCTTTCACAGTGTTTGATATGTCAGGTCAAGGGAGATACAGAAACCTCTGGGAACATTACTACAAGTAAGCCCATCGTTTATTTTAAAGCATTGCTGTTCATATTAGCTGTCATGTATGTTATTTAAACAGATGTATGATAATATCTAGTGGTTAGAAATGATTCAGAGAAGACTTACACCTGGTGTTTGACAGAAGGTCATTCTGGATAAATACAACTTTTTTTTCTGTTCTAAAAAATGAAAATTTTTATGTGCTGTTAATCAGCATGCTTTTGGGGACATCTTGTTGACTCAAAGATTGAGGGAGCATACTAGAGATGGGATTTAAATGTTGAAATCTGAAAACCAATCCTGTAAGAAAGCACCAAGATGAGTTAGGTTTCCTATTTTCCTGTTCTTCTGTAGGTAAGTGACTTAAGACCCAAAAGATATTGGCTGATGGCTGAGATTTTTAGATGTGAGGGAAATTGACCTCAGAGAATGAGGCACATGTAACTAAGAACTTGACCAAGTATTCTTAGATGTTACTTATTAAGCAAAGCAGGATAGTCACTGTACTTTATAACACTGTGGTGTTGCCTTATTGGTAATAGGCACCATTTTCTGTTTTTCTAGCTTCTAATGAAACTTGAGTCTGCATTTATGTTGTCTCATTGTTATTCTGTAATACCTGATGCTGATCTAAATAAGGTGAACAGTAGTAAACCACACAGAAACAGCTTGGAGAAATTCTGAAGATTATAATATTGGTTAAATGTTAATATTTAATGTGGTAGAGATTAAAGTATTCTTTAATTGAGGATTAACACTTCATCTCCTTTCTGTGCAAAATGTGTTAGCAATTTGAAAACTTGTTGCGTGGGTAGGAGATCTTCATTGTTCAAGAGTGTTAGATATACGTCTCCCAAATCTTTTGGATTTCAGTAACTGATGCCCTTAGGCTGCTCTCAAAATATTAGCCAAGTGCTTCATAAGCACATAATTTTTCTGACTGCTGTATTTAATGCAGTAACTTATCCCTTGTGTGACATAGACAGCTTTTTTCATCTTAACAGTAAGGGAGTTTCTTAGGTAATGCTGACATTGAAATGTGCACTTGTATCCACCTCTGTTGCTGATCCAGTGCAGTAGTCACATATTTAAGATTAACTTCTAAGAGTAATATAATAATGTGTTGCTCAGTTTATAAAGTTAAGCAAGTTTTAATTTTGCAAGAATTGCAAAATGGCAATCAAATCTGATCAAGTGTCTAAGTAGTTGTTTCAGAGTACTTGAAGCTTGTGCTTTTCTTGTGTTCGGCTTGAAACTATCATCTAGGATGTCCTCAACGTATGCTTGTCTTACATATATGTAAACTCATGTTGTATCCCTATTACTGTTACTTGTTTGTGAAGTTATTTTTTGGTAGTAAATACATGCTAGGCTCTGATTCCTCTAGAAAAAGACTGTATGCTCATAAAAATTACTTAGGCATTTTCAGCTAATATGCAGAAGCTTTATTTGCTGTTAAAGTTCTTCTGTACTCCAGAAGAGAATGGACCTTCTCATACAGTCTTAGGCTGGGCACATTATTTCTGTTTTTCAGTAGGTCTAGGACTGTTTCTTATCAAAATATGAAGGTAGATGGTGCTGGGGGGTGAAGAATGTATCTGTAATAGTGTCTCTGAGAAATGTAACATGAAGTGGTGAATATAAAAATGTTAAATATAAAATATTAAACAAA